GTACATATATTATAAACAGGTTTAAAGGGTTAAGTAAAAGAAAAAAAAAAACAATGCAGTACGTATGCTACATGCCAATCCCAAATATATTTGGGTTTGTAAATGTCATCTGATCAGACAAGCTGCACATAAAAAGGAAGATTTTCTAGAGGAACTCTGTTGTCTTCCTTCATTAAACAATTAAATTTACAGTTTGAATTGAAGGTCGGGTCTCTTTGGTTGAGGGTTCTACATTCTGAGCAATAAAGTTTGGAGAGTCAAACATCCTGATACAGCCCTCTGCACGACCAAAACTAAGTGTTTTCTAAACTGTCTGAAATGTATGAATTTAGTAATGACTTACTGACGACTTGGAGCTCCACCTCTCCAGTGGTACTAGCACCATCTTCTGCTACTATGTAGATGGTATAAAATCCACTGTCCTCCATCTTCAGGGGCCCCAGGGTCAGGTAAGCATTGTTGGTGTTGATCGACAATCTTCCCTCATAATGTTCGCTCACCTTCAGCCCTGATGGATCCAAAGTGGCGACATTGTCCACATCCTTCCCATCACTGCAATTCCAGATTATGAAGCTGGAGTATGGGTTTTCAACCAGTGTTTTTAGAGTCACATTTCTCCCCAACATTGCCTCCACTGGACCCGGTGGCAGAATACTCTGACCTACACAGCATCCTGAGGGGACGCAAAGTCACAGAGAGTAACATCAGAGGACAGTAAGTGGAGAAAACACTAGGATACAAAACTGTCATAAACAAGCCCAATACAAGATACAGTAGAATATTATATATGTTGTTATATTATTACTACGTTATTTTATCAGGCTACACCCAGGAAATGCAAAAAACAACAACAAAAAACAAACAAACAACACACAAAAGTAAAATAAAATTTTTAAAAAACACATTAAAATAACTCATAGCTCAGTTTGAAAACAAATCGCAACTGCAGAAAGTTTCCTTCTTCTTACCAGTGAAAAAGAGAAGAGGCAGAAGCGACTTGAAGGAGAGCAGGTGCATCCTGGACGGTTCAAGTCTTCCAAGCACAAGTGAAACTAAACTGCTTTTAGAGGAACCTTCACCCCTTTTCCACCAAGAAGAACCAGGTGCTAGTTCCTTGCTGGTGCTGGTGCCAGTGTGTAGTTGGTTCAAATCTTGCACCTCTTAGGAACCTGTTCGCTTTTCTATTGGCAAGGAGCCAAGTTAGAGCCACGACATACGTCACTGCACACGTAGCTGTTTATGGAGTTCAAGACGGAAGTCCACACAGGGCTCATCCACTCACTGCCTACTCCCTACTAGGGCACTGTGTAGTCAACTATGTAGGGAGCACAGAAAAATAAGCTATCACNCAATCACAGACACAGAGAGTCTTCTTCCTGAAGGGGGCGGAGACAGCAGCAACTCAGCTGCATTTAAAGCTGCAGACACTGACATGGCCTGTTCACATAAGATCAGATAAATGCAAATGTGTGCATTTTTTTTAAAGGTTACATCTCATTTGCATTCTTAAACAAATCATTTTTTTTAATCTTAAGTAACCAACTGGGAAGTTTCATGGTGATATCCATCAGTTAGACAATGTCATGTCTGTCAAGTCTCTGTCCATGTGTGCACATTTTATGTCTCGTCTTTCCTGTTTTATTTCAAAGTCACTAATCGGTTGTCTTTGTCCTTGATTTACTTCCTCCACCTGTCTCGTCACACCTGCTCCCTGATGGCTTTCCCTCACCTGTTTCCCATCTCCCCTCATTACCTCGTGTATAATACTTGTGTGTCTCACAGTCTCGTTGCCAGTTCGTCGTACTTCACGGTCGTCGTCCCAACGTTTCCTAGTCATAGTCAAGTCACAGTCTGTTTGTTCACGACCTCGTTTCTGATTTTTGGACCTTGCCTTTTGCCTGCCGGTTTCTGGATACCTTTGGCCGTTGGACTGAATTCCTGTGTACCGAACCCTGCCTGACATTAAACCTGTCTTTTGCCTGAACCCATTCTGTGTCGCGCATTTGTGTCCACCTGTTCTGTTCCACCTGAGTTCATGACAGACAAATTACCTGATAGACATGTAGTGTCTCTTTTACACAGAAACAACGACTGAGAGAGAGTTACCTCCACGTTTCTCCCATTTGAAGGTCTGGATCTCTTGTTTTTCATCCATTCGTAGAGGAACAGATAACCAGCCAGCAAGATAGTGATCACAACCGCACAAACGGTCAGAGTCACGATGTAACCTGGACGAGAGGCACAGAAGAAGAAGAAGAGTCAGGAGGATGGTTCTGTTGGTGTTGTGCTGTAAGGACATTTATAAAGCTGATGGCAGGACATTACCTATACATTGCTCTGTGGTTTCAGGGGGAGCTGACGTGGGTACGAACGTGGTGGTTGGAGCTGTGAACAATCAGATCTAGAATTAGACAAATCCTGAGGGGGTCAGA